CCATTTACAATAATTACGTTGTCAGATTCGTGCTCGTTTTGCAAAATTATAAGCTAGCTATAGAGTTATTAAAGCTTCATATATATCTAACTATAAGAAACTTTTTAAAGTGAGAGTTGAACTGCACAGTTAAAGCTAGTTTCAAATACATTTTGCTAGCTTTCGTTTCGAAGTACATTTTAGCTTCTTTTTTTTTAATTTGTCCGCCCGTTTAGCCATCAGCGATAAGTATATATTGACTTGCAGAATTTTACAAGACAAAATATAAAATGAATAATCCTGGAAAAAATATTGATAACAAAGAAATAATTATATCCACAACACCAACGATAACGCCTACGAGAGATCCGATAGGTTTACTGACAAAAATATCGATCAAGCCGATAATAATAACAACATTATGTGTAGTCAACGATAAAAATATGTACAACCAATGACAATGCAAAATCAGATGACTGTAGTATACATTACAAAAGTTTTAACCAAATCATGGTACAACGACAATCATAAGCGAAAGAGCATATGTTTGCCAAAAAAATATGTGGTGGCAGCACTTTCAACCATGCCAGAGTTACATACTGCAATTTTGCATTCCATTGGGACCTTTGATTTGGGCTTAATTTGTTATATATTTTACGAATATTAAAAAAAAAGCACCAGCATCTCCTAACAGTAAAATTAATAACGAACCTTTGGCGAGCAAGAAACATTAATTTGTATTAATTTGAATCGGCATATCTACAATAAAATTTTGTATGCATGCAAAGTCCATTAAAAAATTTGGTGCTCTATCGATAAAAAGACGCGATTTTTCTTGGGTTTTAGTGCTTTTTAAAATTCAAAACTAGGCAACACAGCTTTCTAGCTTATCAAGAGGAGCTCTCCGGGCCTAACATCTGGCGCCTGCAAAACTTTATTCTCGATACGCAGTTATTCTTGCTTGAACCTATGTACAGTTACCGTTTGCAGTTGTTTTACAAAGTACCAACGCTCACGCTCTAAGTGAGCCCGCCACTTGATAAGGGGCAACCCCCTTAACCTAACCTAACCTATCGGTCCTCATATATCAAGGCTCTCATGGTGATTATTTTTACTATTCATAAAAATTCTTTCAATTGGATATCATTAATAGAAGGTGACAATTTTTTTTTTTTTTGTTTTTTATTTTGTCTAACGTAAGTACAGGTATGAATACCTCTTTTATATGCTTTTTCTCAATTGGTTATTTGTTCATCTATCTTTCCAGTATCATTCTAAGCGTTTTACTGAACTTTTGTCGCTTACATTCATGCATTTTTTCTTTGCTTATTCTTTGCCATCGCTTTTTTCTTTTGTTTGTATTTTTTTTTAACTTCATGCTCATAAATCATGTTGCACAGACATGAACAACACGAACACGACTCATATTCGATAGCAGCTTGTAGTTGATAAATGTATATGGAAAAAAATTCAAAGTATCCATTACTAAGTACACTTCGGTAACTCTAAGTTTACCAACCAATTTTGTTCATTCATATAAATAACGTTGTATTCTACGCTAAATGATTTACGTTGATTTACTTTAATGTAGTCGCATTTTGATCGCATTGCTATCTAATGATTTTGCACTACTTGCATACATACTACAATTTAATATTTACTTGTGAGTACCAATTTAGAGTATATCATTGCACATATATATATGTATAAAGAAAAACTTGCAACTGCTTATATGTATATAAATATTTATACTTTTTTATTGCTTAACCATGCCGCATTTAATTTATGCAAAACCACGTTTTGTGTTCCATGTATTGATTTTGTGCTTTTATAAAGCAATTATTGCAATATAAATATTACATCGTTTTTAGTTCTGCATTCGCCTTTTCTAATTCTCTAATTGCATGCACTTTATTCTACATACATATATGTACATTGTAGTACTATGCTGTAACTACATATTTATATTTATTTATATTTTCCAATTGCATGCCTCACCGCAGTGCTGTGCTGTCAATTAATTGTCAATTAGGGTTAACAGTTGACCTCTGCATAAATCACGTTGAATTTGTTTTAAGTTAATTGGATTGGTGTAACTGATGGCCTTGATGTTGTTGACGCTGTAGTTGGTATTAGGAAATTCTATCGACATCGTAGACAACACCTGATTAAAGTGTTGTTTAGTGTAATATTTATGTGTTTTTTTTTGTAGATCAAATGCATGTATTTGGGGTTAAGGATTTCCATATAGGGTGTGAGAACGGAAACTTTGTATGCAAATTTGTGGCTATAGCACAATTTTTAGCTATAGCACAACGGCGACATAGTACATATTTACATGAAAATTAATACAGCCGATATATGTATGTATGGAGGTGTTAGGCACACGACTTTTTTTTTTTTAATTAAATACCTATGAGGAGAGGATGAGCAATGATGGAAAACCAACCATCTTAACGTTTTTGCCAAAATTTGGTACAAAAAGTTCCCGCAGAGATTTACGAGAAAGAAAAAGAATGTGTACTAAAATCTATTTCAATCGGAGTATGACTGCGATCAAAGATTGGTTACTAAATTTTTTTTATTCGATTGACCAGTAATTTTCCACATATAGTACCTGAAAATAATGTTTTACTTGGTGATTTTTTTTTTCATTTTCGACCTATGTACAAAATTTAACAAATATTCATCAAAATTTCAGCTTTTCAATCTTAATTTCTAGAACATTGTTGGATTCGCAATTTTATAGCCCATACAATTTTAGAAAAATAAATTGCAAGTTTCAACCGTCTAAAAAATCGCGCAAATTTTTAATCATTTTTTAGCTATTTTTTTACAAAAAGTGCAATTAAAAATATCTGGCGTTTCTTAATTTTTTACGAATGGTTTTATGTCATAAGAAATTTATATTTATATAAAAAAAAGTGCAAAAATCCGCCAGCACAACAAAATTATTAAAAATCAACGGAACTTTTTGGCCACTTGAATCATTCACTTTTCTGTACTAAAATTTTATGGGCTATAAATTTTATATGGGTCATTCTATGTAAAAAAAGAAAACGACATAAATTTACAATTACCCTAATTATCTTTATTATATAAAAACGAAGTTGTAGTTTTTGTCTATAGAAACTTTTACTTTATACATAATTACTTCACACCAGTCAAAAAGGCATGTCCCACCTAGGGTTGCCAACATTTTCTAAGAAACTTATAGTACTTTTGTTAAAAGCTAGGGTTGCTTTTTTAATTACAATATAGGTTTATTCCAGCTAAAAGCTTACAAGTTATATTTTAATTAGTTCTAAGAGATTTAAGGCGTGAGCTTTTTGAATGAAAATGGAGTGAATTGAGCAAAGGTGAAATGATATTAAATGATGAATTGAATAGTTAAATTAAATTGAAATATTAAAGATGACGATCGATGAGAACTATATGCCGGTATATTAATTCCCACGTTGATATGATGAAAGCTCGCTGCTCCGATGTGTTCCGATGTTTGCTGATAGGTGTTGATTGTAGAAAAGAAAGAAGCACAGTAAAAAATCATAGTTTACTTTTAATTCCAGTGAGTATTTAATTTAAAGATTTTTTGAATTAAATTTGATTTTTAATACCAAAAAGTTTTATTTTTAAACTATGAAATATTCTTGCAATTTCATTAAATCCAAAATGGTTTAAAAACAAAACCTTAGTCAGTGTTGAACGCTTTGTTTTCAAAATATTGATTCTTTTTAGTTTTAATTTAAGGCACAAAAGGCATTAGAATGCTCTCTCTAATGTTTTAAGTATTTTTGGTTAAAAACAAAACCAAAAAAAAAGTATTAAGAAGGTTCTCTCACTCTGAATGATATTTAATGTACTCCCAACTTTAGTATTTTTGGTTTTAAAACAAAACCAGAAAAATACTAAGAAGTTTTCTCACTCTCAATCAGTATCACGTGTTCCACTTTTGGAGAAGCGTCATAATGTTTCTGAAAGTTAAATACCACGAGGTAGTGCATTTAATAAAAATATGAAATCCTGAAAATGAGGAATTCTCGACGAATGAAACAATTATATCAAGTAAGTAATCTAAAAAATTACTCAAGTTTTATGAAAGATAATTGTATTTCTTTTCAGTTGTGGAAGAATTAAAGATCAATCCCGACTGTGCAATAACGTTGCGAGACCGCGACGGAGCTGAAATTTTCGTGGATTATTTCCAGGAAATTCTTTATCAATATAAAGGCTGTAGCTGTTTTTTGTTGGAAATAAATGAAAATTCGACAAAAGAACAATCATCCCAATCATCAGTGGTGTTAAGCTTAAATCACGAGGTTAGTGTTGCACACTGAAAGTGGAAGACTTGTTGTAATGAATAAATTTGAACAGGCGCTGGAAAACTACATAAAAAGCGGAGATTTCTCTTGCATTCTTGAGGAATACAAAAAAAGCAACACTTTAAGTGATAGTTCCCGCCGCTCGTTAGTGCGCGAGTCTACTAACTTTTTACGCCAACATTGTGGAAATCACCCGAAGCGTGGGGAAAAAATTGCACTAGCTGAATCAATAATATGTATTTTTCCAGCTTTTAAGATTGCTAATAGCAAATTTGGGGGAATTGTAAGTATGCATTTTGAACTCTTAATACATTTACATACCATACGATCTTAACGAAACTCAAAAATAATTTCAGGATTTGTTCTACAATCCAGAGAACAATTCCGGCTATTTAGCTGCAAAGTTAAAAACCATAAACACCAAGCTTACGAAACTCGACAGCGGTGGAAAAAAAAAACGTAAACTATCTGAGGTCGACAAGGAAAGCGATGATGAAGCGGTAATTTCTGTAGAAGATCTTCACTTTTTTTCAAAACTGCATTGTTGCAGACGAACTGCAACTGGTTCAACAGAAATTGCAGGAAACGTTAAAAGCAAGACAAAAGTTTATCGCAACTGAATCTAATGTTTTGGAACATTTCCCAATATTTTTATATGATTCGTCATTGGTAGTGTATACACAATAATACTACGTATATATGTATAAAAAAAGAAACAATAATTTTTTTGTAGATTGATTTTGATTTTAATCTTCGGAATGGAGAGGCGATTTCGAACAGTCTTTTAGAAAACTGGGAAAAATATGAAAGCTGTGTGGAGAAAATTTTAATTGATGCCGCTGGCGGACCTAGTCTGGGAAACTGTACTGATTGGGCCACTGAAGTGCTACCTTATTTGATGCTTTTAAAGCTGCTGCCATCTACTGCCAGTGGACGCGCCCAAAAGAAAGTAAACTTTCAAAAATCTGTCGATAGTTTTCTTTCCTTTGAAAACGTAATTTACTATATAATGTTTATTCTTAATCAACACAAATAACACAATTTTTTCTTTGTAGCTCAACACCCCTATCGCAGAATATGCAGCTGAGACTAGTCAGCCCACCATCGTTGCAGTTGGACAAGACAGAGCCACAATTTGTCAGTATTTTATAACCATTAATGGCAAGAAGGTAAATGTTCCCATCAATTATAAATTCAGCCAAGTATTCGACCTGTATTTTAAAGCATTTTATGTATTTAATATACAATTTGATGTAACTTTGGCGAACTTCTTGGGGTTTTTTGACAAATTTATTTACAAAATCAACGATAATAAGAAGCCAAGTACTAGGTTATTAGAAGTGCAATCGAAATTCGAGAATAAGTTTAAGGAATTAATGAAGTAAGTTTCATATAAAAAAAATGGCAAAATTTTGCTTTTTATGTTCCAGAGAATTTGAAACCGTAACAAATGTTGTATTTCATTTAAAAAATTAACATTTTTTAGCGGAGGCTCACGGTTTAAAGTTAAGGTGTGTTTCCTCTAAAACATGTAAAAGAGTATTTAATACATTTAGTTCGTTAAGTAGGCATTCCAAACTTTGTAATCCTATTAATATAAGCAGCGAAATTCCAAAAAAGAAAATTGAACAAATATCAAAACCAGAAAATGTAAATACTCAAAGTCCTGCCATTGACAATGATAGACCATCTTGCTATTTTTCTTCAGTAGAGAATTTTGAAGCTTTCTCGATTGCTTCATCACTTTCAAAAAAGTTGATATTATGTGGAATTTCAGAAACAAAAATTGGTGAAATATTTACATCGTTTGAAGTTCTAATAAATAACAGCTTTGATAAATTTGAAAGGTACTTAATAGAAAAACATCCTGAGATAAGAGAGAATTTATTTAAGGAAAACTGTATTACTTTTCGGGGTGAATTGACCGATGACTTAAACAATATTCAACAAAATTTAGAAGAGGAAAACAATGTAGAAAGACAAACTTTTATGTCCTGTGAACTAATTGAATAAAATCTATTATTAAATTAAGCTATTGTTCCTCTAATATAATTTTAAGTTATTTCAAATAAAATGTATTTCTTAACAAAATTTTATTTTGATTTTTATTTTCAGCACATAGCTTTCCATAATGTTCAAACAAGCAATCCTTATTTTAAAAAATATCAAATTTCTCCTTAATTGTACATGAAATGTGGTATGTTTTATTAACGGGGTTGTAAATTTGTTGAGCACTGTACGCATTGGGTTTGCTTTTAATACCAACAATATAGTAAATCTAATCCAATTTTGTTTTTGATTATATTCCATAAAAGTATTAAATCCATTCCAATTATCAGATAGATCCAAAACCATCTCTGTTACTTTTAATACGAACAATATCCTAAATCTAATCTAATATCGGTTTAGATTTAATTCCATAAACTATAAAATCTATTCCAATTATCATATAGATCCAAAACCATTTAAGTTATTTTTAATACGAACGATATACTAAATCTAATCCAATTTTGGTTTTGATTAAATTCAAGAAAAGTATTAAATCTATTCCAATTTCGAGATAGATCCAAAACCTTTTCAGTTTTATTTTCAATCCCTAAAAACTATAGAATTTAGCCCCATGGTTTGTTTCTAAGAAGAAAAGCTTATTTGAATTAATTCCAAATATATTATTAATTTAATAGCAATAATACATACTCTCTCAATCTTTTCTCTCCCTCTTTGCTTAAACCAGTATGGTTTTAATCTAATACTTTCTGTCATTGTTATATATAAACACCAAAATGGTATTAAAATTAAACTAAATTTTTTACTGTGAGGAAGGCAATGCGCGGGTTGCCTTTATAGGCAACACTGGAATGCAATTCCAGTATGTTTATTGGTATCACTAGCAGTTGAAATGGGAAATTCAAGCAGGGATACTTTGAATCGGTAAATATGCAGGAACGCGTTTAGGAAAAAAATATGCGCAGGTAGGCATCCTTCAAGTGCACGCGAGTCACTTGAACAACTTTCTTCAAAAAATCTGAAAAAAAATTAGTACACTTCATATAAATATAGTAAAAGGTAAAAATGCTTTTTAAGTATAACATGTTTTTTCTTTCTTATGCATTCCTATTATAAAAAATGTATTTCTTTGCACTTTTCGCAGTTTTTAACAAATCACAGTTAACTATGAAGAAGTAGAATATAAATCAAAATGAAATTTTTTATTAGTGGTATGTAATCGCCTTGTATCTCCCATTTCGAGATTTAACATTAATATAAGAAAAAAAACACTTCTGTGAACGCCGATTTAAGCGATATTTAATTTTATTGTAATTTCAGTGCCACCCTTTTCAATAAAAAATTTTTCTTGAAAATTATTGAAATATGAAGAAATATAGTATTTTTGCATACTACAGTGAAACCCGCGTAAGTACCCACCCGCTTAAGTAACCAACAGTTTTGGGCACCGTGAAGAAAATCCCCCTCTTAAGTACCTCCCCGCTTATTTAGCCAACCCGCCTAAGTACTTAAATTTTTCGTAGCCCATTGACCATTTTACTTATAATTTTCCCCTTTCAAGTGCTCTTTTAAAATTTCTTAAAATATTTTCATATTTCGAAATTCAGTGGCAGCACTACACAATCGACATTAATTGCCACCGTCAGTGTAACAACATTCAAGTTTCAAGTGGTTAAAAATTACCGTTGATTTTTTAGAATTTTGAAATTTTGATGAAAATTTGGTGAATTTTCAGTGTTCTACAAAATTTTAAGCTTAGATTTATACGGTATGTGGTAGGGAATGAACTCTATTTTAATTGGAAAATCTTAAAAATTAATAAACATAAGCGGCAAACAGTAAGTACATATGTATAATCAATGACTTTTTAAATAATTGAAATATTGTAAAAATGATATAACATTGCTTTATCTAGTTTTTTTAATAACGTTTTTCATGTGTTTATATGTTTAAATAATGCTACGATCTTGGTTTTAAAGTACGTATACTTAAATAAATGTTGATGTTTTATTCAAGGATGTAAGTTAACAAGAAAATGTAACTTCATCAACAATTGTGTTAGCTTAAGTACCCGCATTGAGGTACTTAAGCGGGCTCTTTTACGTACCCAACCCGCCTAAGTGCCTCAAAAAGCTGACATTTTTCGTGAGGTACCTAAGCGGGTTTTATATTATATATTATAGTACGGTTGGCAACCCTAGTCCCACCAGTCACAAATTTAAATGATTTTTTAATATTTCTAGGAAGATTTTTTGTATATTATACTTTTATTGATATTTTATTTAACTCAATAACTATGAATTTCGATAACGAATCGCTTGGAAGCTATATTAACAGCACCAAAAAGAGTCAAAGGGGGGATAGCGTAAGTTATAAAGACACCAAGTGACTGGCCTCTGAATGCGGGATGTTGGGGAACAAAAAGTATAGTCTACTAATAACACTTATAGCTGAATACAAGCAAACATACAAAGTATATTTACTTTATGCTCAGGGTGTACTTCGACCACGGGGTGCTTCTGCTAGGTTATGTGCGCCAAATCCGGTACCGATGCAGTAACCATGTTCACCTCTACTCGCGCCACTTCCTTGATTCTCTGCGCTACTGTTACTGTCAGCTGATTTGCTACTCAACATGAAATGTAATTAATATGACTAGTTACCCGCAGAGTTTGCTGCCATCGGTTGGAGGTTAGGGTATAACGAAGTGAAGAACCAAAGAAACGTTTTTGCCGCCAGCACGCGAAATAGTTAAGCAGGACAATCCAGATCCGCTCCCTACGTGTACAGACGCTGACTGGTTACAGGAGTAGGTAGGTTGTTTGTGACGATAGTGGATAGGTGGAGCTGTTATTTAACGCGTGGAATTTCATAAAGATTCGTGACGAGAATTGCTTGGTGTTTCTATAAAATTAAACGCGCGTAGTCACTCTTAAGTTGAAACAGAAAATAAATGTCTTTCCTCATGAAAACTTCTAAGCGCCACTTTCCAATAGGTGTTCAGAACGGGCCTGTATTGATCTATGCGAGGGGAGGATCTACTTTACTTAAAAAGCAAGTAACACGGAATCGGAAAAGTTTACCAAATTTGACAAAGAAGAAAAAAAATTAAAAATTGTTGGTAAAAAATGACCTAAAACGGCAAAGCTGGTTATTACCAGCGGTTGTAACGTTTTCGCTACTTTTACTCTAACCTAGAGTCAGAATATCATATGCGCAAAAATATCGGGCATGTATACATATATGTGTACATAAGTATATCTATGTATTAACATTAAGGTGCATTACTCTCCATACAAAAAAAAATTGTATTATTTCGGAATTATAAAACCTATTATATTTTAAGACTTCCGTCAAAATTTTAAGATTTACATAGTGAACTGGGCCGATTTGAAAATAGCATAAAAATCTCATTCTTTCGATTCCGCCAATATTTTAAACATTTTTGTGCACACCTTTTAAGCTTTACCTCTTTACACAGACAAAAATCAATATATTTATCTATTCCCGACACTAGGACCAAAAATAGTTTTTAGTTTCTCTCTGACGTCAAGATTTTTCTTAAAAGGTCTTTGAATTATGAGATGACGAAAATAATTGACATTTTAAAATAACCGTCTCGCGAGACGAAAACAACTTTTCCATTGTTCAGTAATAATTATAGAGCAATATTTAATTTTATTTCATATAATCGTTATGGTCTCTGGTTTAAACAATTGAGCTAGAGTAACATATGTGCATGCATACACATATGAACAATATACTGTATAAAATAAAGCATTACATTTTTTTGTTGCATATTTCAAGGGGATATTTTGATTTTCTGAGGACTTACAGATTCTTTGTACAAAGATTTTGTCCGAGAGGACCCCTAGTGAATTTTTATGGCAAATAATTTTCTAGAAGATGTTAACCCTCTAAAAAAAAGGGCCAACACGACCCTTTGGTGAGGGAAACAACATATTTCTCTCCGATATGTATTTTTACCCTTTTTTTTATTTATTCAAAAGACACTAAGGCAAAATATTGCAAATTTAAAATGGCCATAGCAAAGAAATTTGACCAAATAATGCAAAACCATTTTGAGGTTTTACTATATGGGTCTAGGTCTTTCATCCTGCGTTGCAATTATTGCGCCCCCAAAAATACTGTTGCACAGTGTTAATCAAAAAAATTATTTTAAAACCCCAGTGCAATGTAAAATACTAATATGGGCATCATATACAAACGAAAATTCTGTAGAATTAAAACAGTTTAAATTTTTTGGTACATAAGGATGAATAGGTACTGAAAAAGTCCCCTCAAAATTTTACCCTTGAATATTTTCGAAAATATGCAATATGTATTTTTGAAAAAATTATATGTTAAGGACCAATACACACTCTACCACATCTTCGAATTTCGTCATTGTAACTATCTTTTAATCTTTTTAATCTTTTATAACTATCTTTTAATCCCCGTGATTTAAAATACTTACTTAGTTTTTTTTTTTAATTCTACAGAATTTCTTTTTTTCGTACCCATAATAATATTCTACATTGAACTGAATTTTTTTTAATAATTTTTTTACTTAATCATATTTTTGAAAACATGGAAGTAATTTAAAAAGATCCTTACGTTAGAGAGAAAAACTAACTATATCTGGTCTATAGTTTCGTGTGCTTTGAATTTTTTGATTTTTGTTAACCGATTTTTGAAGTTTTTTTTAAATTGGTACAGCTAATGTGAATAATACAAATTTTCCGAACTATTTTGGTGTGAGTATTAAAATATATAAAATTTTGTAATTCTGATAGAAAACCCGCAATCTTTTTTGGCGAGGCAGCCTAATGTGCATATACACTTACTCGCATGTATACAAGTAGCTGCAAGGCGTTATCTGCAACAGCAGTAGCGGTCAATTAGCATGTATAGCAGCAATATAGTATGCATGAATATATATTTATTCATCATATTGCTAGCATTACAGTTGCTGCCTGCTGGCCGGCTGTTAGATATACACACATATGTAGGTGTGTATATAATTGTGTGTCGGGCCATTAAAAGCTGCTGCATGTCGCCTGAGGTGGCATTTTAAGTGTCCACTACATACAAATGCATGTTGATTAAGTTGTTGTGGCCGCCATGGTGTAGTTAATATTTAAATTAATTAATATATATAGTATTTTTCAGACTTTCTACCAAAAGCAGCTGATATTACTCTAAGTAAGAGCGCATGCAAAATATGTATGCAAGTGCATTTAAGTTGTCACAGCAATTGCGGCAACAGCAGCTGTCAAGTGGAGACAGGCAGACAGACAGACGCGAGCAAACTCCAAGTGCATGCGAACGGATGTTGCTGGCAAACACCTTCCTTCCTAGCTGCATAGTTGCTGTAGCGCAATCGCGCGGAAATTGAAATGATAACTCAGATTTGTACATAGACACTACTAATTAACAGTTTTCCATTTTTGTTTGCGATATGTTATTCTCAGCTGGTTTAAGACATGCACATGCACATGGAATTTGACTTGTCTGTATGAATTCACAATTCAATAGGATTGTGCTACTGCTTTTCGAGTACCAGTACATATTTGGCACAGATACTAATCAATTCGATTTCATTTCGCTGGCAAATGTCTTGCATGAGAAAGTAAAAAAAAAAAATTATAGTAAGTATGTTCATAGATTTAGTGAAATTCGATACATAGTGAATAACAAGTTTGTATGTAGCTTATCACTTATTATTGGTCTAAGGTTAGTTTTGATTGCAATATTAAACTTTGTTAGTCGATTTCAAACCAAGCAAAATTATTGCAGA